TGGCTGGTGCACTAGGTGCGCAAACATGCATGCGGGCTTGTGTACACAAAACACATGTGATAATATACGATATGTGTGTACACGACATCCGACCAACACTGCGTTGCATTGCATATGCATGTGTCTGGGCATGTGCCTGTATCCCGCCCTGAAACCATGGCACCCGACTATACGACCACATATACACACACGTCCCAACGCCATGAACCCGTAGGCCGTCTCTCATCAACCTCCCCCTGCGCCTCCTCATCCTCCCCGTCATCAACCTCATCCTTCCCACCCTCTTCCACTGGAGCGGCGCTAGGCCGCATTAGTTTCACACGTGCCCTTTGTTGAAGCGGCGTTTGGCCGCACATGCACCCGTTGAGCAAGCTGGCTCGACGCTGGTTGGTGCGACACGGACTGTTGCGACTTGCGGCAAGTTGACCCAAGGCTCTCTTCGCCGCACGCCACTCCCCAACCCTTCTATGTCCCCCACGCCGACCGCGCCATTCCGCACCCTGCTCCCCCATGGGTCCCGTCTCTGTGGCCGTGCGGGGTCGAGGGGTTACGGCAACGCGGGCCAATCGAGGCCGCCGTTCGAGCCCCGTCCAGAGACGACGCTCAGGTTATTCTGCCACCACTCGAACGGGTGGTGCTGCATGTGGCAGGGCCATGGGCCACGTGGTGACGAGTTCCAATGTCGGCCGATGTACGAGCTGGGCCCAAGTAGGAGAGCCACCGATGAGAGACGGAGGGGGCAAGCTGATGCATATGAATATGAAAAGGGGGGAACTAGAGCTCGAGAGAGAGAGAGATATAGAGCGAGATACGCATACAGGCATGCACAACCACAGAGAGAGAGAGCGATCTATACCAACAACACCAGCAACAACAACAACAACAGCAACAACAACAACAACACAACCAAACAAACAACATCCACACATAAATCTAGCTACTCGAACACCCGTGGCCTGGCCCGTTTCGATGCCCCCCGGGTCGGAACCAAGAATACGAGTACCACATTGACCATTCCATTGAGGCAGGGGGTTCATATGTAATGGTGGACGGGATTACGTTATTCCACAGGCCTGGAGGTGTACGAAAATATGCAGCGATCGCCACTGACCGAGGATATGGGAGGGTGAATGGGAGGATGAAGGAAGGATGTGGGAATGGGGTGAAGATGACGGGGGAGGGGGTGAGGGAATGCATTGGAAGTGGCGCTGTAGACCAAGGTGGAGGTGGGGACGGGGAGGGGGGGAGGGTTGGGAGGGGGGGGGCACGCACACTCATGAAAACTCATCTCCCAAGGCGGCCTGGTTGCAACACTGGCCGTTCACCTAGGGCCAGGCGGCGATAGATGTACGCATCGGTCTTGCGCGCACGAGGCGGTAGGGCGATGGGCGAGGGTTCCGAGGGGGGGGGAGGGGGGGGGGCGTGATTCTCGGGCACGCTCGAAACTCATGCCCTGCATTCTGAGAGTGCAGGCGCGGGCGTGTCCGACCCATCCGCCCCCTCGGGAGGCCGACCCCATGGCTCTGCCAAACGAAGACCAGGCACGGTGGAGGCGCCTGCAGCTGGAGAAAAAAAGCCACCGAGCGATCGAACGGCATGAGAATACACGCATCTCAAAGGGGTCGGGAGTACAGAGGGAGGAACGGATGGCAATGGAAGGAAATTAACAAATAGAAAGAGGGTGAGAGAGAGTGCGTGTGTGTGATAACGAGAGATACACAACGCGGGAAAGACGGATAATATGGAGGTACACCAATCGCGATGTTATGCCATGCGATGCCCTGCTGTGCTAGACTCCATCCGCGCCCACTGCTACGCAGTTTCTGATCCGCCCCCAAAAAAAACAATCCGCAGCGCTACGCCGCGAAATGTTAAGATGCAGCGCTGTACGCCGTTATGGTATGAGGTTCCGCGCTCATACACCACGGGACTCATTCCACGCACGACGTTGGCCATCATATAAAGATACATGTATATATTTATGTGTATATATGCAAGCATCTATATATATATATATATATATATATATATATATATACGCACCATGCGAAGGCAAGCACGTTGTGCGACGTATCCGCGTGATACTGACCCAAAATAAAAACGTGCTTCACCATCTTGCAACATTTGCCACCCGCCAATTGCGCTGCACAATGTCGCAACATTCACGGCTAAGCACGCTGCGCAACATCGCGGCGTCGCGCGCGCCGCCGCACTATACTGCCACGCATCGGCTGTGGCACAACACCAGAACAGCATAACACAACACTAACATTACAAACCAACCAACGGGAGATCACGGCGCGCTCGAGGGAACAACGCGGGAAATGGGCGGGAAATCCACGGGATGTTACAGGACGCTTGCGGGAAGTTTGCGGGATGTTTGCGGGGAGGTTCGGGAACTTCGCGGGAAGTGTTCGGGGCGTTTGCGTGAAGTTTCGGGAACTTTGCGGACGCTCGCAGGCGCGCCGCACATGCTAGCGCGCCGCCGTTCCGCCCGATCAGAGCCCGTCGCCGCGCGGGGGAATGTCGCCCTACAGTGCGAACCGCCTCCCTCGGCATATTCCTCGTCGCTCCTCCCCCCCCCTCCGATTTCTCGCGTCGCGCCGATCGGCCCTGGCCCGTTAAACAGCAGGAGCTGCCGCGCGAGAGTTACCAGTGAACGGCCAAATCTGCGGCGCCTCCGCCGACCCTCTCTCGTCGCCCACCGCCCCACGCATGCGCGTCGCGCGTCGGGCGCGCATTGCGCGGCCACGCGTCGAAACAAGAGACTGCGCGCAGGCGGTGTCGTTCCGCGCGCAATGGCACGATCGCGCTGCCGAAGTGGCCGCGCGCGTCGCGCGCCCGCGCCATCTTTTCCTAGATGTGCGCACTTGTGATAGTCCACCCTGCGCAGTCACGCAAAACGCCGACAACCCGCACGCATAAAAAGTTACCTTTTTACCTTTTTGCCTTTTTGTAATTCTCTTTTTATGGCGCAGTTCCCTTTTTTCCTAAAATGTTCGCTTTTCACCCTAGTTCCCCAAAAAGTATGCTAAGTGACCTGTGGGCGAGTACATCGCGGAGCAGCTGAAGACGGATGCGCAGCGGCAAAGGAGAGGCGCAAAGCCCGCGAGGAGCGGGCGGCGCGCGCATAGCCCCCCGGAAGCTTCTCCCAGGCGGGCGCAGGCACCTCGGCGCCGCACGGGTGATTCCTGGCATTTTCGCGGCGGCCTCGACCTCCACCACTTCGTTCCTGATGGCTCCTGGAGCTCGCCAGCGAGACGTCTTCCCTCTTCCTGCCCCAGCGGCGGACTCTCGCGCCGACGCCGGCCGCGGCCGTCGGGGACGACAGCGCGCCCTACGCGGGGTTCATTGGAGGCGATGGGGCAACGACGGCGTCGCGGCCTTGAACCAGCTGAGCGGCCACTAGCCAGCGTCTTCGGCGCCGCCAGGCTCGACGGCATCGGCGGCCCAGGCGAGCGCGGTGATGCGCGTCGCCCAGGCCTATCAACATGTTCATCTTCCCCCCGATTACCACGAGGATCATCGATCTGTCAAAGCAGCCCTGGCAGAGCCGCTCGCATCGGCGCCCGCGCGCTCTACCAATTCCCAGAGCGTCAAGCCCCGCGGCAAGGACTTGGCGCCCTGGCCTGATTCGTCGACGGAGCTCGTTGGCGCCACGGCCCTCGCTGACCAGGCCGAGCTTGATATGTCGTCGGGATGGAGACGGACTGCGCTCAGAGGTGAGGCGTCTGCTTCGCGCCCGAGAGCGGCCCCAGTGCCGCGGCAGCCCTGCGTCGACCCGATTTTGGCCGGCGGCCCCTGGGCCCGCGCTTGTTTCGCGGGGGAAGCGCCGGAGGGCGGCATGATCAGTTTCCGCGTGGCGCGGGCGGCCGACCAATGTAGCTTGGGATTT